GAACGTACAGAGTGGGGTAAAAATTGCAAATTTTACGGTACAATTGTGGCATACCACATGAGTGAATTAACGGGATTTTTGAATGACGAATGCTCTAAAAAAGAGTTTTTTTCTAAGTTACACTTAGGTAGAAAAAAAAACGTAATCTTCGAGGTTGCGCTGCCTGGACATACCATTGCTTTCAAAAACATCAACAATTTATTAAAAAAATAAAACTAATGATGTACAGTTCGTTATATATATTAAAACGATGATGCTAATTAAACGTTAAATAATTCATTGATGTATCTTAAGCGGTTTTAATTTTATGGCGCTAGTCCACGAACTTTCAGAACAACCCTCGTATTCCTTAAAATTTAATCAATTCAGTGTATTACATTACTTTTATTCCGTCTGTTCCACTAGTACAGTTTGTCTGTATTATTGGAAAGTACACGTACTGCTTCTATTATCTGAGATAAATATATTTAGAAATTCATACATGAACTAATTCAATGTTCTAAATTCAGTTCTCAAGTTTTCAAACAGTAGGACTACATATCAGTATCTGCACTCCCTTGGATATCATTAGCTGCTTTTTCAATAAAAATGGAACTCGTAAATATACTTACCTTGTCGTTGGTCATTTGCAAAATTATTTTGTTAAAAAACATTCTGATTGTACACACAAGTACTCTGAAGTTGACATTAAAAAGATGCTTGAGTTTCTGATTGACAATATCTATGTGGTTTTTGGAGACCAGGTTTTCCAACAATCTATTGGAATTGCCATGGGTACCAATTGCGCCCCGTTATTAGCAGACCTTTTTTTGTTATCATATGAAGCAGAATTTGTCCAATATCTTGTGCGTGAAAAGAAGAAAACACTTGCTGTGGCCTTCAACTCGATATTTAGATATGTCGATGACGTATTCTCATTTAACAATGGCTATTTCCATTCTTATGTTGATACGATATATCCTGGTGAGCTTGAGATAAAAGATACCACAGAGTCTGACACATCTGTTTCATATTTGGATATTTTACTTGAAAAAGACGTTAATGGTAATCTAACAACCAAGCTTTATGATAAACGTGATGACTTTAACTTCTCAACCGTCAACTTCCCTTACTTATGCAGCAATATACCTTCATCACTTGCATACGGGGTATATAAGTTTTATACATTAATGGCATGTTTTTATAATATCCACGGAAATGTGTTGTAAAATAAACACACATCAAAAAAAAAAAAAAAAAAAAAAAAAAAAAAAAAAAAAAAACTATCTAGTCAAATGAAAAGTTAAGAAAATAACAAATGAGCCGTTCCAAGCAACAACACCCACCCACCCCATGTAATTTTTTTTTTCTTTCGAAAATTACTTTTTCTTCAAAAATAAAGTACACCTAGTGGTAAATATAACCTGTAAATATTACAGGTGAGTCTTGCCTCGTTATAGATTTACAGATAATCAAAATATATGTTACCCGCCAAGCAAAACCTCCCTATAAGGACTTTTGGTCAAAATGTGGATTTTTGCATATCCTAGGAGAACATTAATTAAGCTCTTTACCATGAAGTGAAATATATGATGTATTCTGCCCTGACGCCATTTTCTTCTAGCGACGTCAAACGAAATGCATTTATCATGACGCCATAAATAAGAGAGTTGTCGAACTGTTATCCCTTCACAAAAAAGGGAAAAAAGCTTTTTAAAGTTTAATACATGTACAATGTTAAAAATTTCAAATTTACCTCAGGGGGATGAATATTTTATTCAGAAGGGGGGGGGCATTTTTTATAAACAGATTTTTTTTTATCATTCCCTCTCAACACAGAATTTTTATTTCTAAGATGACCATAAGACAGATTATTTATTTTCTTCCCTGGAAGAAGATAAGCAAATAGAAAAAAAGGAAAATAGAAAACCAAACTCTAAATCTGATGACTGTGTTATGCGGTGTGCGTTTTGGGGGGGGAGGGGGGGGGGGATCAAAGGCGAATTTAATGAAATCATACACGTATTATTATGTCTCCCCTTCCAGGGGAGACATATTGTTTTTGTCGATTTTCTTCTTCTTCTTCTTCTTCTTCTTCTTCATCCAAATTTTGTCCAGGCCGTAACTTTAATACCCTTTGACATTCAGACTTCAAACTTGGAACATAGATAGAAGACATTGAGAAGGAGTGCATGCCACCAACATTTTTGACCTTGACCTATTTATAAGGTCAAGGTCAATCTTTTACATCAAAATAGAGTCCAAGCCATAACTTGAGTACCCTTTGATATTAGGACTTCAAACTTGTAACAGAGAAAGAAGACATTGATACAAGATGCAACACACCAAATTTTTGGACCTTGACCTCTTTTCTTCCTCAAGGTCAAATAGGGAAAAAATTTGATTAGACCATTACTTAAGAATCCTTTGTTATAAAGACTTCAGGCATGGAACATGCAGAAGTGGTATGAAGGAGGGATGCATGCCACCATAATTTTTGACCTTGATTCAATTATTATAAGGTCAAGGTCAATCTTTTACATCAAAATAGAGTCCAAGCCATAGCTTGAGTACCCTTTGATTTAGGACTTCAAACTTGTAACATAGAAAGAAGACATTGTTACAAGATGCAACGCTTCAAAATTTTGACCTTGACCCCTTTGTTAAAGGTCAAATAGAGAAAACATGAATAGACCATTACTTAAGAACCCTGACATTAAGACTTCAAACTTGGAACATGGAGAGGTGGTATAGAGGAGGGGTGAATGGCAACATTTTTTTCACCTTGACCTATTAATAAAGTCAAGGTCAATCGTTTACATGAAAATATAGTCTAGGTCATAACTTGAGAACTTTTTGACATTAGGATTTCAAACTTGGAACAAGGAAAGACAACATTGAGACTAAATGCACTGCATCAAAATATTTGACCTTCACCACTTTCTTCCAGGTCAAATTAAGAAAAACATGACCAGACCATTACTTGAGATCCGTTTGACATGAAGACTTGAAATTTTGTACACAGAATTGGAGTTGAGATGCACTGCATTATTATTTTTGACCCTGATCATATATTTGCACTCATTAATGTTGGTAAAGAAGGGGAGACATGTGTTTTTTTGTAAAAAAAAAAAAAAAAAAAAAAAAAAAAAAAAAAAAAAAAAAACAATACCCACTAGTTAAAATTATAAGTGTTAACATTATCAAATTTTAATTATTATCATTCATAAGTCTTTTGATACCTTGAAATTTCACCACTCACTACTCACCATCAACAGGAGTACAGGTTGTGTCTTTCCATGGATCTTGAACGAATGGACGGATTCTTTGATACAGGTACTTCTGTCTCTCCTTTGTTAAACTACCGGGTTGGATGGACCTTGGACGAGCACTTGTATCGAACAATTCTGGGTTGTATTTCAAGAGTTTAAAAGCAACCTTTTATCGTCTTTTGTTTTCTGGTTAAGTACGAATCCGGGCCTGTCTAGCGTAAATCTGAAAATTTGATACCTGGTATTCCCTAATCCTTTAACAGGAGAGAAAATAGATGAAAAAAAGCCATCCAATCTAATCACATCCATGTTTCCTCCCCCTCAAAAAGAACTGCGTTGTTCAAATAGCAGGTTTTGTCTACGATGCCACGTAAATCTGCAATACTGTTGCAATCTGTTCTCCTATACAGACGCTTGATGTGGGCTAAGTTTGAGTCAAACAGGCATATACCAAACAATAATGAAAAATGCGTTGAATAATGGTATGCATTTTTAATTTAAAAGTGAAGCGTACCTTGCGTGACCTGGAACCTGCATCATAAAAGTAATTTGCTGCTGATGTTTATTGTTTATCTAAAACACTTACGTGAAATTGGTCCATCAGCATTCATTAATTTTCTTAGTTGAGAATGTAAAAAAAAATTGAGTGACTTACACATGCAGAAATGAAATATTCGTTTTCACGTCATTGATTTTAAAGGCAAATTTTGACGTAATTGAGCTAAGGGAGGTTTTTGTTGGCGGGTCACACTTTGAATAACATTTAGTATTGAAAAAATCCTGCAAATTAATGTGCGTAAATTATCGTGTGACCTTTTTACTCTACAAAATATCATATTTTGGGTACATGTATTAAAAATCTACACAGGCAATACGTTTTTCCCCCAAGCTTTTTATAACTTTATTGCTGATCAGTTGAAAGTATCATGTAGTTTAAAAAATGAAAGAAAAAATTGGGGGCCATTGACGTAAATTTTGAGCCAATTATTAGGCAAAATATTCGATTTTCAGACAAATAAAAACATTGTCAATTTTCTGCTGCATGGATATGCAAAATTTGCTATAAAAATATTACTTAAAACGTATATTTAATATTCGCAGTAAACAATAACAAAAGAATTCTCTCAGTAAGGCCAACTTTAAAAAAATTGTTTGGTTGCCCTCTCCCGACCGACTGGCTCACAATGGCCCGACTCAAAATAGTTTCTTTCCACAAGGTACCTAACTCAACTTCAGACACCCCCCCCCCCCCGGTTCAAACTCGTATTTTATTAATTTATCAATCATTAACCTTCTTTAGCAGGACATAGATGGCTTCCAAATTCTTTTTTCTTTTCTACTGAATCGTTCCAGACTTCCTTCGTAGAGCCTCTAAAGTAATTGTAAACCACTCATATCTCTCAACACATTTCAAGACGTTACAGAGGATACATTAACTTCCGGTTAGCAAGCGATAGCCGAGTGCTTTCAAGAATACTCGTCGACATCCTTAATATCTATAGTTTAAGGTATAAAGGATGTTGCTCGAGGGAAGAAATCCTACCTTACTAGTACGCTGGGTAATTTAAAGGCAGCACTGTGTAACAATGGAAAATTGAACGATAATTGCCATATTTTTTTTAATGAAAATCGACTAATAAACGTGTATTTTAACAATAATTATAAAAATGTGTTAAACTTCCAAACTAATCTTAAGACGACTTAGTTTTCTTTTCCTACACATTCAACCTTGTCCTTTAATATTTTCAGTTTCAGATGTTGCCCGAGGGAAAAAATCCTACCTTAGTAGTACATTTGCTCATTTCAAGGCAGGACTGTGTAACAATGGAAAATTGAACGATTTTTGTCATAGCAGATTGACCACAAACCCATGGTATCGGATCGATCTGGGGACAACCTACAACATTGACGAAGTGATAATCTATAACAGGAGAGACTGTTGTGGTAAGTATAATCCTAAAAGACTCTGCAATCATTATCCATGTTGTATTTTTGTTTATTTTGTTTCAAGTTTAGTAAAGGTTTTTTTGAAATGGAAAGCTCAAATATATATCATGAAGAAGATATCGCCAAGAGATTTTTTTAAAGTGAGAGAGACGAACAGCTTTCTGAAAGAAAAAAATTTGCAATCCATTGAACATGCCTGAGCATACAAACTGTTTTTAATTTTCATCCTTGTCTGTTGTACTCTGTCTTTAATCAATTTAACAATTTTAGCTGCCGCTTTTAAATTGTGGCATACATTTTGCAAAATTGAATAGATTTAGGCAAAGGATGAAAATTTGACGGTTTTTTTCTTGGTTTTACTTAGATAAGACCAATATTGCAAGCCAATTTTTTCTAAGCGCCTCCACCACTCACAAATCTAGGGTTTATGTGAAGTAGAACAGAACAGAACAATTGCCTAGCAAAGATTGGATATACTGCAAAGCCAGGTTGGCTGTTTCGGTCAAAGGGGGGAGTTAAATTGAAACTAATGGTCTTCAATACAACCAGAAATCAAACTGCTTATTAAAGAAGCAATATCTCCCTCAATCCCAGTTTTGAAATCTATTATATGAGAGATAGGAATGGAGGCCCAGGACCTTGCAACTGGCTGGGGCAACTTTGATCACATCAATCAATAGTAATGTTGACGACTATAGACTAGACACACTAGCAGATGAGCTCTATTTTTATTAGGCAATTAATCCTCTATCAAAGATAAAGAAAAAGGCATATGCTTCTGAAATAGGGTTTATGCTGATGGGGTGCTCAGTTTGAAAAATGTGCTCATTCTAGGAAAACACACTTGCTTATATCTGGGCTTGTGAAGGAAGATTTTAAGATTTTGTTGAATAAAATGCTTAAGACATTATTTAGAAGTGTAGGACAAGAGAGAGGATGCCCCCTCACCTTTTGACAAAAGTTTTTTCATTAGTAATAGCCAGAAGTGCAAGCTTAGACCGAAGGACTTTTTTGCAAGTTAAATTAGTAAGAGACGTTTGATTTTTCCCCCTCTTGCCCACAAAATTCTACTTACACAGAAAACATTAAATGCACATTCTTCCCAAAATCGTCACTCTTTACCACAGTGAATGATCATTCATTATGTTTCGTGACAGTTTTGGATTAAAGTATGATAACGGGGGTTTATGGGGAAAAAACTAAGTTAGCAAGTGAAGTTTGTATTTGATATAAAGACAGCTTCTACTTTTTAAATAATTTCACAAATTGTTTTTTTTATGTATCTGTATATATAATCTTTTCTTTACTTGGGTAGGTTCAGTTATGTTTCCAAAAATTAAACCTATTAAACCTTCATGAGTGCAAGTTGTTATACTGGTATACACTGTTTGCTTTCTTTTGATACAGTTGATAAGTAGCTTTATCCTTCTGACATTATTTTTTTATACAATTCTGATTCTAGGGAAGCGTTTCCGTAATGCTGTGGTACAAGTTGGTGACTCATTAAGTAGTTTGAAGACATGTGGCACTTTCAAAGGGCCCGGAAAAACTGGTCAAACGATAAGAATCAAATGTCCTGGCAGAATGAAAGGGCGCTGGGTTCAAATCCAACAGAAATATCGTGGCTACTTACATTTTGCCGATGTTCAAGTATCTGCAAGCAAGTCAATAAGCCAACCGATCAAAGCAGCCCAAGCGGTGGGTAAGTAAAGGATGTATTCACAATTTCAAAGGAATTGACCTATAGGATAGAACAATTTCCCAGAAAAGTCACATTTAAAAATCAATGTTCATTGTTGTTTTCTTTTTTTTTTTTTTTTAATTATTCTTTATTTTTGTTTTACACATTCTGCTATTTCATACAATTTAAACATATGTTTAAAAGAATCTACAGAAGGTGTAGTTTTTTTTATTTCAGAGAGAGAGAGAGAGAGAAAGAGAGAGAGAGGAGAGAAAAAGTTGGAGGAGAAAAAAGGGTTGCATGCATTCATGAAATATTAACACATATATATCTGTAAGAGTCATTGAAATAATTGATTCCAAGAGTTCCAGCAGGTGTCAAACATATCCTTTTCACCTTTATTATAAGCAATATATTTTTGTGTCTTCCCTGTGCACCTCATTGTGTAGATATAATATATAAGCCATAGAAAAAGATTATTTGGTATCTTTTTTTCATCCAAGAACCTCAAAATAAAATTATTTTTTGGTATTGATATTTGAAGATTAGTTTTATTTTCAAAGTAATCTTCAAATTCTCTTAAAAAATATTGTACACTATCACACTCCCAAAGCAAATGTTCAATTGTTTCTTCTTCCACCTGACAGAATGTACAATTCTTATTTTCTGTGATTTTAAATAAATATGAGCTAAAATTCTGTTCAAAATTCGATACTGAAACCATTGCAGTTTTCAATTATTTGTAACTTTAAAAGGCAGTTTAAAAATCATTTTCCATTATTTGTCATTCAATTCAAATGTTTCATTCCACTTTCTTTTACCAGTAGGTTTTGTACTATTATGATTGAGAAGATTACAAAATTGCCCTGATTTTTTGCATTCTAGAAGGGTATATATATTTGACATAACCAGAGGGTTTTGTGAATTAGTAACATTTTCTTCAAAATTAACTTTTTTCATCCATGCCTTAAGAGCACTTATAACACTCATGTATTCTAGAAAAATAATTTTCACTTGAGGATAAATATCACAAACAGATTCATAAGTCAGGAACAAACCCTCTTCATTAATAAGATCATTAAGGTATCTGATATTAGAGTGATACATGGATTTATTAAGAATTACTTTTCCCCCACAAGAATGTCAGGATTGTAAAATAGTGGAGTGTTTGCTGTTACTGTAGTTGGGTTTTGTTTATGATGTAGCTCAATCCATGAATCAAATACATCAACAAAAAATTTGTTTTTCAGTGATTTCTTTATATTTTTGATATATTCATTTCCGCACGTTGTAACTTTATTTAGATCTAGATTTGGTATAAAATCATGCAGGCCTCTATTTGACAGTAAGAGTTTTCTCATCCAAAATAATTTTAAAGAAGATATAAAAGCCTTTACATTTATCATCTTTAATCCCCCATCTTCATATTTTTTAACAATTACATCCTTTTTTATTCTATGTTGAGAGTGGTTCCACAAGAAGGAAAAGAACAGTTTATCCAATTCTTTATAAAAGTTGTCATCTGGATTTGGAATTGCCATAAAAATATGGTTTAAAAGAGGCAAAACCAAAGTTTTAAGAGCCATTCTCTGTAATGACTTGAACTTTTATATAGGAGCTGTGGCACGCATAGTCTCAGAATTTCTCAAAACTCTCTATGATAAAAGTCTTTGATACCGTTAACTCAAATCAGGCAAAAATTGGTTGCTACGTGTCATGGTTACCATAGCAACATGTCCTAAAGTTTGAAAAATGGCATTTTTCAACATCTTCAGAGTCCCACAGTTAACGTATGCAGCAAAGCAAACAAGTTGCAATGACTGTTTCTGAAAGTTGAAGGCCTGGTGTCTTAAATGCATGATAAACATGTCTGGTAAATCATCTATAACTTACATTACTATGGAAACAATGTATTCAAAAGTAATAATTTTGTTCATTTAATTTTATAAAGTCATACACTTAAGAATAAAAACAATTATAAGTTGAAATGCAAGCAAATAATAGAGAAGAGATCCTTGTAACATATACCAAGGACAAAATATGATATTTCTTATAGGTTGGCAATGGTTGCCATGGTTTTAATACCACGAAAGGATTTTAAATTTACTCTCTTAGTGTTTTAATCTTATCCTATCTTTTTAAAAAGCATATTTCTATATAACTGATGATCAATTTTTAAAGGCCTTGGTGTGACCCTAATTTTCACATTTCAAAAAATTCAATTTCAATTCTTTAAATAGTGCGTTGCTATGGAAATAAGGCGAAAAAACATGCATAAAAATCTGAAAAATACTCTGTTTCCTTGGATACGTACCGTTGTATGTAGATTCCCAAAACTTTAATGATTGATATATGTGAACAACTAACCTGACTTTCAATTTTGACTATCACCCAATCTCTAACTGGATGCAAAAAGCTGGCACATTGGGTCTAATATTGACAAAAAATTAACAAAATCGAACATTTTCTCTTCTTGGTTACCATAGCAACAGTGTTGTATTTTTCAACAACCTTTATCAATATATGATATTCAACTTTAGTTCTACGAGATAAGTACTATTCAAGGTGATTCAAATGATATTTTTCTTGATTAAAAGGTTGGTAAATTCCTAAAGCAGCAAAAAAATATCACTTTAAACAACTGGTACGTTGTTTCCATGGTTACACAGCAAAGTAACAATTAATCTCAATTTTTCTTATGTTGTCAGTGTTGCAAGGCTCTAAGGATGCATATGTGCCAGTCATGAATTTTATTATTTTCCCTCACGATAGTAGCATTAACCCAATCATAGCAACAGATTTTGCATGGTGACTCTGTGTTACCATAGCAACCATGAAAGTTATTTTTAAAATAATATTGCCAATACCTAATTACAGGAGGTCAAATATTTTTCATTGTTTTTCTTACGTTGTTGATTGAGTTTGATCATGTAACATCTATCATTTGTGGCTATAGAGCGTTTTTCAGCATTTTTCAGCATCTAAAATGTATTCCAAATGTACCCATGGTTACCACTTACTTAGAGATAAATTCTAAATAGTTTCTTTATAGTATAAGTGCCAACAAGGTGTCATGTTTTTGGGAGAATGGTTTGTTTGTTTTTCTTAGTCTTTATTAAGGCTTAATAAAGATTTAAAGTGGCTGAAAATCTCAATTTTTTCAACTTTTCTTGCTGTTACCATGGCAACCAAGACACATAGCAACGAAATTTTATTTGATATATGTTTCTGGTGTCAAGTTGTAATAATGGGCAAAGTTTCATCAAAATCGGTGACCATGCGTGGCAAAGAAGTTTAAGTGGTTACAGAGAATTGCTATTAATAACAGTAATTTTTCCTATTGGTATTAGGTGTCTTTTCTCTCATTGATGCAAGATTGATTTTATTCTACTTAACTTCTGCTGATAATTAAGTTTAGACATATTTTGAAGTTCTACATCAAAATTAATTCCAAATAATGTGAATTTGTTAGTCCCCCACTTCAAATTAAAATCTCTAGAAAGGATATCTTGAATATATTTTTTTAGATCCAATCCATACTGTATTAGTTTTCGAAAAATTAACTCTTAGTCCAGACATTTCGGAGAAATGTTATAATACTTTAATTGTTTCTGAAAGTGATTCCTTGCTACCATCAAGGATAACTGAGGTATCATCAGCTAGTTGTGAAATTTTCTTTTCATTATTACATACAGTAATTCCTTTAATCCTTTTATTTTCTCTTATTTGTATAGCTAGAATTTCTGCACAAAGTAGAAAAATATACGGTGATAAAGGATCACCTTGTCTACAGCCTCTTTGGATATTGAAGGATGCTGAGAGATTGCCACCTTGATTAATAGCTGAAGTAATGTTATGATAAAATAATTTTACCCATTTGTGAATGTCAGGTCCAAACTTAAAATAAGTTAATGTCTTTTGTAAAAAATTCCATGAAACAGTATCAAAGGCTTTTTCAAAATCAATAAGTAGTAGAAGACCAGGAATTTCTTCCTCTTCAGTATACTGCATTATATCATAAATTAGCCGAGTGTTTTCCCCTATATACCTGTTAGAAATAAAACCAGTTTGATCAGGATTGATAAGTTTATCCAAATAAGTCTTTAATCTATTTGCAATGGTACCTGAGGCTATTTTATATACAGTATTTAAAAGTGGAATTGGACGCCAGTTTTTAATATATTGTCTTGGTTTTTCTCCTTTAGGTAAATAGGTAATAATTCCATGTCTCTGTGTGATTGACAGACTATCATTTTCATAAGCATAATTAATTGACCTGATAACAAAAATTCATAGATATCGCCAAAAGACCTTAACAAATTATGATGAGAACCTTTCAGAACCAGGTGATTTATTTGCCTTCATTTTGCTAAGTGTTTTAGAAGCCTCCTGTAATGTAATTTTACCTTCTAAAGACACACGTTCATCTAACGATAACATGGGAATATCTTTGAAATTTAGCTCAGAATTTAAGTCATATTCATTTAACTTATTGTTAGGTGTAGAGTATAAGTTTTCATAAAATTCCTTTGTTTCATCCAAAATTTCAAACTGGTCTTGAGTTATCTGCCCATTGTCTTTAACAAGTTTGGGAATTATTTTACTAGTAAAATTTCTTGATTCTAAACTACAAAAATAATGAGATGGTTTTTCCCCCTTTTCCACCCATTTTGCTCTACTTCTTATATACATTCCTTGAAGTTTGTATTTTCTAAGTTTTTCCAATTTTTGCTTTTTTCCATTTAGTTCCTCTACATTGTGCTCAGAAATATTTTCTTCTAATACCTTAATTTCTTCTAATAATTCATTTTCTTCATTGACTTGTTTCTTTTTATATATGCAGAATATGAAATACTTTTCCCTCTTATTTCCATAAGTAGAGTTTCTAGAAATAACTGATCATCAATGGTAAAATATAGATTTTCATCTAGAATAGTATCAAGATTATCAAGGTCATACACAGGAAGTGCATATTGCTTTTTCACATTTGAAATAACATCTCTGATACAATCTAGGTATTGCTTATCACCAAGTAAAGAATTGTAAAATTTCCATAATCCCCTTCCTTTTTTAAGATCATTGATATCATAGAATGATCGGACCTGTAACTTGGTTCGACTGTACATGCATTAAGACAAGGTAGCAATGACTCAGACATTATAAAGAAGTCTAACCTACTTTGTTTAAAAGGATTTTTTTCCTCCATGTGTACCTTCGAAGTGTTTCATGGAGTTGTCTAAAGGGATCTACATAACCACTGGCTATGCCAGCTGTGGATTTAACACTAAATAAAAATCTCCACACCATATGACACTGTAACAGTTCATTTCTTCAATGGATTGTTGAATATTTTCATAAAAAATTGGTGTATCAGTACTTGGGCCATATACTGTGCATAAAACAACCTTGTGACCCTCTATACATATTTTTAGAATATGATAGTTTCCATCTTTATCACCCTTTTCCATGCATATTTTAAAATCAAAATTATTATTGAAAAGTATTGCCACCCCTCTTAAGTTCGAAATATAGGAACTAAAATAACATTGATATCCCTACATGTTTCTGACCTCATTTTCTACATCATTGGAGAAGTGTGTGTCTTGAAGACAATAAATATTATAATTTAGACTTCGTAAGTAGTTAAAAACATCTCTTCGATTTGTGATATCGCCTAAACCTTGACAATTAACAGATAATAATTTAATCCCCATCAAAATTTAAAAGCAAAACAGGTAATTTCATGCATGCATGTATATATAGAGAAGAAAGAGATAGCAAAGAAGCACAGGATAGTACAGAAAGAAAACATCTGAAAGAAACAAAGTATAAAAAATCTATTGTAATGACAACAAGCTCTCGTTTTTTTTTTCCAAATACATGTACATGCAAGTGTCCTTACTGATCTTAAATCTCTCACAGGAGTGTAAACCGGAAGTTGTCTAGAGAGCCATAAGTTCCAAAAACAACAAAGTATACATGAACGGAAATGCTATTCCCGGAAAAGAAATGCATTAATTCAATTTGGCTATTTTCTCTTCAATTTTGTCAAAAATATCGAACATGACTCTTTCATCTCCAATTTGTCCATACACATGTCCGTTGAAATACCAGGCTGCTTTGACTTGTTCGTGTTCCAGCAACTCGTTGATAAGCTTACCGTTGAGCAGTGTCACATCGTCGCTTAGCCTGATTTCGTTTTCAGTATTTTTCCAATCTAATTAAAATTAGACTTGTAATTTTCGCTCCTCTACGATACGCTTCAATACAAGATCTAACAACACCCCGTCCGAGGTCACCTCAGTGTGACCTTTGATACAAATCAATTAGCCAATGAAAAATAACCAATGACATCAAGAATCGACCAATGAGAAAGTGTTTGTTATATGCTTATCGCTTGGCATTTAAAAATGGCTGCGCCCATTGAGAAAGTTACGAATTCGCTAAATATACAACTGAAGCCTCAACAGCTGGACATTTTGCAGTGTCTGCTTGATAGGAAGGACTGCATGGCAGTTTTACCGACTGGCTTCGGTAAATCATTACCTTATCAACTACTTCCGTTGGTACAACGAGAAATCGGCCGCACTGGGATTGTACTTGTTTGTTGTCCCCTTGTTTCTTTGATGAAAGATCAGGTTGAGAGAATAAATGCAATTAAAGGTGTAACGGCCGCATATAAAGGTATATTTTATTTTATTCCCAGTTTTTGCTTCATGACGTTTTGTAACCCACTTGCGAAATGATATTGCTATTCAACAGGTCTGGTACAATCACTAGAATTATCTACGTAGCTTGAAATACCTACATAGCTTTATTTGCCTACCTGAGGTAGCTTTATTTAGCTACTTAATCAAACTTATTTCTGAAATTAGCATTTTCCTTATGAAGTGCAGAAAATTGCACTTTGATGCAGTGATAATTTTCAACTTTGAACTCATCTGAAAATAATTCATGAAAAAATCACTCATAGAGATGTGTGTTTTTTCTGCACAATTGCAATCAAAAAAGTTCTAAAAGTTTTGGGGCTATGTACAACAGTTAACTTGTGACCAAACAGTTACATCCAGAATGAAATAGCAAAGAAAACCAGTTTTGGTTAACATGAGCACAATGTAAAGTAATCATACTTATCCACGCCTCACTGCACACAAGGTGGTGTAAAGTTACTCAAACAATGGAAATACATCTTTTCCTTAAAAATGTTCAAACGCAACAATGTTTAAACTATCTCTGCTTTGGATTGCTTTTTAAATAATTCCTAGAATAAATATTACTAGACATTTACTTGCAACTTTTTGTCTTCTTAAAAAAAAAAAAAGCAAAATTGTGAAAAGTTGCCCTAAAATAGCTAAATAAAGCTACCTGAGGTAGCTCAATAAAGCTACGGTAGGTAATTCTAGCTACGTATGATAAATGTACTGATTGTACTGGACCTGTTCAAGAGGAATTTTCTATTCAAAGGAATTATTTAATTTAACAAACACAAATATAACATGAATATAATTTATGCAGCTTTTTAAAACACTTACTACCAAACAAATACATAAAATATAACATGGGGCATCAGTCATTAACTCAATATTTGAAAATTGAGACAGGATAATTGATCTTAATCTTGGTTATACTTGAAATACTATTGAAACCTTGCAGAAATTTTATGACTTTATATGTTTAATAAATACCAAGTTTAAAGTTTGGCAAAGAGAGCCTTAGTTTTGTTCTGCCATGTATGGTAAAATATTACAATAAACTTTATATCTATGGTCTGCACAAAAAAATATCATTCATATGCTTGTTTTCCTGTGATCACCTGCTGCATGTCATCCACTTAAGCATGCTAAATACATTCCCTACTTTTTACAGGTCAAGGTCTAGATAAAGAGATTTTGAGTGGCGAGGTAGACATCATATTTGGAAGTCCGGAGTCACTGTTAGGTGAATGGCGGGCTGAACTACAGCAACTCAATGTCACTGCAATTGTTATAGATGAATTTCATTTAATATCAACGTGGTAAGAATTTTTAAAATACATTTTAGTTTTGATATACATTCAAAGAATTGTAAAATGAGGGAAGAAAATTTTTCTCAATATGCTTCATGAACTAAAATATTGTAATTATATATGTTATATGTTTATGCCCATTAGGCCCTGATTTGGTAATAAATTCTATTCTTATGTATTCATATATTTCAGGGGACAAGATGATGAACATATTCACAAGAGAGCATTTAGGAAATGGTTTGGTGATCTTGGAGAATTACGTTCCATCTTTCCAAATGTGTCACTGCTTGCCCTTAGTGCCACTTGCACACTGAAAGTACAGAAACGTGTGTTGAAAGTGGTATCCTTTAAGCCAGATTTTACATTTGTGTACTTGTCACCGGACAAAAGAAACATCAAGTATGTTGTAAAGAAAGTGGCAAATGACATTGAAATGGCAATGACATGGTTAGTGGATGAACTGGTGAACATGGGAAGTCTATTTCCAAGAACACTAATTTATTGTAAATCAATTAGTGATGTGGCAAAGATTTACGATTATGTGTCAGACGAATTGCCAGAGGACTTGTGCTCATATATAGCTATGTATCATTCAGAGACTGAAGAATCTATCAAAGAGACTGTGTTATTGTCCATTCGGGAGAAAGAGAGCCCTATAAGAGTTATTGTTTCCACTAATGCTTTGGGTATGGGGGTGGATTTTAAAGATCTACACAGCATTATTTTATTTGGTCCACCTCATTCTATACTTGAAGTGGTGCAGGAAATTGGACGTGCTGGGAGAGATGGTGAAAAGTCTGTGTCTTTGCTACTTTATAATTCCCATCACCTTGCCCGATGTGGCCCAGAAGTAAAGAAACTCTTTAAGAGCAATGACTGCCGAAGAATACAGATGATGGAATCATTTCTTAAGGAAAGTGAACTTGATAAAGTAAAATCTTATGCAGGAAATTGTTCATGCTGTGACGTATGTCAGAACAACTGTTTATGTGGGGATTGTTCTCAACTGCCATTGGAGAAATTGTTTTTAGGGAATCATGTAACTTTTCCCAATGATCATGAAACTTCAGAAGATTCTGATTCTTGAGAATAATTCTTCTCGACATGGGGATAACAAGAATTCTGTGAGCACCAATTATGGCCCAGCTCTGATTTGAATATACACTTTCATGTTAATATACAAAAGTTCTTTTAAAGAAATATTGGCATGGACAGATGCAGGGATAAACAGGAAGTTGACATCAAATTCAAACAAAAATGAATCCCATCATATGGCATGCTTAAAAAAAGAGCGTGCTAAAATTTCAGGCATCTGCGAAGAGTAGCTGTTGAGAAAACCTGTGAAAATTTGTTAAGACAGACACAAACATAAACGCACAAGGTAAACCAGTATACCCCCCTCTCCTTTGGGGATATAATAATTATAGGAAATGCTAATAAATTACATTATTTGGACATTTGGTATGATATATTTTGTGAAGTAATTAAATATTCAATAACATATATCTGCATTTTAGAGTTATATATTAGACAATTACTGCTGGTTTTTTGAGGTCAATACGATGATTTAGAAACCCGAGGAGTACAATATTCACCGAGCCCGAAGGGCGAGGGCGAGGTGAATATTGTACTTCGAAGGTGGCTAAATCATCATATTGACCGAAAAAAACAGCAATAATTGTTTTATTATATGATTCAATGATTAAATAACACACTCATTAAGCAATCCATGCCATCTTACTTGTTCACATCTACTGAAGTACTAGCCCAACATAATGAGAGAAACAGGGTTAAAAACAGTTGTATTATTCTGGAATTTTTAAATCTAGGTTAGGTGCAATGTAGAAAAATAAATGTCAGGCACATATATAGGATTGATTTTGAAAAGGGGGGCATTAAAAGGAAAAAATTGACAACGTATTTGAAAACAAATCTTTGACTGCCCCCCCCCCCCCCAAAAAAAAAAGGAAAAGAATTCTCCCAAATCAAAATTTTATTTGGTGGAATGTAAAGGTCCATAAACTTTTCGACGGAACTTTCATTGAAATTTTTTATCCTTAAAATTTAAATTAAAACTTAACATTCTCAAAAGTTGGAGAGAGGGTTAGGCCTCCTGCAACCCCCCCCCCCTTCCCCTGACCCCTCACCCAAGAATCTATGTGCCTTAATGTTAAGTTCGTACGAGTGGATGTCAGGTGCAAGTGAAATAACTTTCCAAAACTATTTGCATCAATTTGGAATTTCCCTATCTATTTTTGTTCCAATGTAGAATGAATAATTCCTTATACTGACCTGAAGATCATGTGCAGGTCAATATAACGTAGTATTTTTCTAACATTGTTGGATCTCAGCCAATCAGAGAGATGGGAATTATTCATTCATATAATAATCATATTTACTGAAAATAAAATAAAAGACGCTATTCTGGGACTACCGGTAATCATATTTATAGCCAAGTGCTGAAACATTGCATAAAATATTTTAGATCAAACATTTAAGAATTTTAATGAATGAACAAATATTGAAACCATTATTATAATAATCAATATCATTTATAAAGCTTTTTATCTTAAGACTCTTGCCTATAATTGATGCCACTTGTAACACCTTCCATGCTATATAGTTACATACTAAAACAAATGCTCATTGACTAAATAATGAATAAGGTACCGGTATGCATTACAATTTCACAGTCACTTAGTTACATACTAAGACAAATGCTCATTGACTAAATAATGAATAAGGTATGCATCACGATATCATAGTCAAACGAAATTGGCAAGTTCAAAATTTACAGTCTCTTAGTCTTCCATATGGTGACCATGGTCTATGGCGATGCAGCATGGTTGACAAGCCTTGAGAACAATTTGAAAATGGATTCCTGTCTAAACCAGTTGTTTTTACTTTTAACTTCCTGTTTTCATTTTTCTGTAAAATGTAATTCTCCAGTAAATCCTTTATAACTTTCTCAACATCAGTTGCATAGGAAGGAAGATGATGAAATCCTTTCCTTTGGCCAAATTCACCTGCCTCTTCGAACTGTTTTGTGAATTGTATGAGCAAAGGATACTCTTTCGAATGTTTCAGTATACTTTCCTTAGTTTTGTGCCCAGTACAAGAGGCTTTGCTGTCTCTGTTAAGCATTTCAATGTACTCATCCAAAGCAATGTTGTTATTCTTGCCACCTTGGATATTCACAAATCTGTTTGCTATGAATCGTTCCTCCTGGTCAGCATTAAGAAGTCCTGAGGACAATGCCGTAGTATGAATGGAGCAAATGGAATATTTGATTTTATTTGTTTTGTGGTAAATTGGAAGCTCATACTTTGCAGATCGTACGCATCTTCCACCATCCCCCATATCTACTGCACTGTCAAAATTTCGATGGAGCATAACAAGTTTAAAAAGCATCAACACATAATCATGCAATTCATCATTGCTGCATTCTTTCTTTTTCTTTGTCTTACTCAAAGAGACGTCATGAAATCCAGACTCGTGAGCTTTTAAAGAACTTACTCTTTTATAGTCCTTTTCACAATGATGACATTTAAAACGACCATTTTCTAATGTCGAAGTCCAGTAGTTTTCCTCATGCTGAGGATTTTCTAGAACACTCCTTATTTCCTCACAAATATCTTGACCATCTTCAAAGAACCATTTTTCCACCAGCTCCCTACACATGTTATTCAACCACTGAATGCTGTCATTGGGTGTCATTTGTGAAAAATCTGGAAGTGGAAGATCATTCATGTCTACTGACCCCAGCTTGTCCATAAAGAGCACTACACAGATGGCATCAAGAATAGTATAATAAAGCATCTTGTATGCTCTGTATGCATTCTTTACTGGTCCTTTAGCACTTCTATGTCCCAAAAGGTTCCTGTAATAGTGGGCAGTACATGGGTCACCTGCCATGCCAGTGCTGTACGTAAGCTTATAAATGGCCTGCAAAATTAGATTTAGTAAAATTTACTCATGTAAACAATATTTTGCACCTAGGAAAAAAAATGCATGGTATATCGTTATGACAGAACTTTGAAATATAAGCAATTTAAATGAAGTTCTAACAGAACGTAGTTAATCTATAAGAAGTAAATCAGTAAGTAAATATTCACTGACTGCCTTAAAAACATTTTTTTATTTTATAGAAAGTATTTTATAAGACTTAATAAATAGTAACTGTAAGGATATAGGTAATTTTCATTTAAATTTTACTTACTTCGAGAAAATTCATCAATCTGTGAAAGTCTTCTGATTTTGAAATGAATCCCTCTAGCCGTCCTTTTGATGTCAGTGAATCCTTGAGTGCAACCTGTGCACAATGTATTCTCTCATCAGTGAGACGATCCCCTTTAAAAAAAAAACATAATGCATAATACTGGCTTTCAAAATGTTGCATATTTGGTTGCTGTGGTTCAAGATCAAAGAATATAATTAACACCTTGATTTGTGAATATCATCAGTTTACACATCTTGGATTTATTACATGCTTTTTCACTATCAAGTATAGAGTCAGATTTACCAAGGTATTTAAATGCCTCGTTGACATACCTCCAAAGAAAACAGCATCAACAACCTCTTCATTCTCTAATGGGACATACAGGTCGGTAAGATGTCTAAGGAGCCGAATCACTTCGTCCGTTTTATTTTCATTCGTATCAAAGAGTCCCAAAGAATACTGAAAAAAAAAATCACCTCTGGTTAATCATATTATCTACATGTACAAGTTGTAAAGTTAAAATTAATGATTTTATAGAATGTGAATCTTACTTGTGTTGTTTTTAGTCCTGCAAAAGCTGAATGTTCATGATCCAAGTGCTTTGGGAAAATAGTCTCAAAGTGCTTTGACACTTGGGGAACATGTCTAATAATGGCTGAAGCAAAAATAAATGTTAGTTTCTTCAATAACTGTGTTTGTTCGAGGACAGAGGGGATGTATGTGAGGTTTTCTTCGTATCCATTTGACCCCGCTGGACTGGTGGTGGTGTACCTGTCAACAATGGCATAGATTTGGAACAAATGGAGACTCTCTGTTTTTCTCTCACTGGTTCGATAAGAAGGGAGAATGTCCTTGTCCCAATTGTCACCCACCAACTGGAATTTTTTGGCAACCTCTTCCTTGTTGGTCCATTTTATCTATAAATATTTAGTTCTTGTGTAACATATCTTTTGATTTGATAAAAAAAAATTTGTGTTGCCTACGTCACAAATTAGTCAAAAATGTATCAATCTGCTTGTCAACACATTTAAAATTTGTACAATTTGAAGGCATTTTTGAAGGGGAAAAAGTCCTAGTTTTTATTAAGTGTAATGATAAAATATTAAATTGTTATAAGGAGTGCATTTCATAGCTACTAAAGATATACTTCTATAATCTTGGTTGGAACAGTTGATGCTTTTTTGTAAGCCACTTTGCAGTTTATAAAGTGTAAATTCATTTAGTAAATAAATGTATACTAACTATACCTAACAATACTTGTACAGTTAAACTGTCAACATGTATTATGTTACGTGTGTTAACTTTAAACAAGAAGAGCTGCAAAAAACATAACCTCCCTGGAAAAAAAAAATTACCTTTAGGATTTTGAGTTCTTCATCCAACTTATCCTGCCAACTTGTCAGTTTATTGTGAAGTGTCTGGGGATGAACACATAGTCCAGCTTTACAAAGTGATTCAATGGTCTGTAATGAAAATAACAGTTTAGGTTTGATTTCCTTCATTTCAAGCAAAGGTAATAATTTGAATTTTTGAAGGCTGAGGGAAAAGAACCTTGAAATCTTAAATTTAAGTATCCTGCAGCCCCCCCCCCCTTTGAAAAAAATGCACTTACTCTTTGAGTACAACCACCACGAGCAAGGATAAAGGCTGTTATGTAGTGCAAAGCAGACATCTCTTGATTTCTTCCATGCAAACATATAGCACTGGAGAGCATCACATGAAAGAAGGGTTTGCTGAGAATCCCTGGGGGTGGATTTTGCACCATGGATGATATAATAGAGAGAGTATGAGGACATCTGTTCTGAAGATCTTTACTCAGATTTTCCCACTGAAAGTTAATGAAATCTTCATATTCTTTTTTTTTGAAGAAATGAACCAGACCCTCGATGACAGATTTTGCTACACTCATCCTCTATTATTTTAGTCACTGCATTCACCACAATGTTGGGATTTTGCTGACATAAAGTGTTCACAATAGTCTTGTCTACATTTTTGTTGTCCAGTATGGCTTTACATACAACTTTGTGTGAAGGAGATACAACAAGCACAGACTTTTTTCCACTTGGGTAATTAATTGACACCTACAAAGAACCAATGATAAAATTTTAAATCCTATTTTGTCCCTAATACAAACCAAATTACCATGTATATTTAAACATCTTTATGTGTGATGAACTGCTATCAATTCAGTTATTGAATAGATTAATTATCCAAATTATTAGATTTCATTTTTACTTTTCAAAATAAATATGGATATAATTAAGTATTATAAA